ACAGCTTAATAACCTTTAATTTCTTTTCTTAGTTGTAGACAGACACAATACCTTTATTTTATCTGTTTTATTTATATATGGTGCTGAGGATGAAACCCAGAGCCTCACATGTGCTAGGCAAGCACTCTACCACTGAGCCACAACCCCAGTCCCTTGTCAATCTTAATTAAGGGGGAAAAAGGGCAAGTGAAACTACAGTAATAGTAAAAAGAAATAACCACAGGTCTGGAAGAGTTTTTCTGAATGTTTTCATTAATATCTTACACATAATATCAGAATTTTCCTTTTACATAATCATACATACATAGAACGTAATTGTCTCCACTTCAGTCCCTGGTACTACTCGTTTCCCAACTCTTCTAGAACCTCCTTTCCCATACTTCTAAAATCTAGGAGCCTTCCTTCAATTTATTTGAAGTGTCTTAAACTACTGATTTATAGATAAAGGTAAAATTCATTCATTGTACTTTATTTACATGTATGTCCATAGCATTGGTCAAAATTGTTTCTTTTTCTTTCTTTTTTTCTTTTTCTTTTTTTTTTTTCTTTTTTGGTACTGGGGTTTGAACACATGGTCACTTAGCCACTGAGGCACATTCCCAGAACATTTTTATGTTTTACTTTGATACAGGGTCTCCCTAAGTGGCTTACTGATTTGCTAAATTGCCAAGGCTGGCTTTGAAATTGTGATCCTCAGCTTCCCAAGCTGCTGAGATTACAGGTGTGCACCACAGGCACCTGGCACACTGGTCAGTTTGGTTCCAGCAATTCTAAATTCTCCATTTCCTGTTCCTCTTCCCTGTCCCTCAACCCTTCTTGCTCTGCTTTGAGACTTTAAACACAATGTCAACTGATCAATAAAAACAGTTTGTAATCATGTCTGGGTATATTGGCAGTTGAAAATTCGTAACTCAATGTAGCTCTAATAGGAAAGTGAGGGAGAGGGATCAGCTGCATTGACTCCAGAAATGTGTCCAAACACAACAGTGATTTCTTGACTTTGCAGAAGACTTTAAGCAAACCAAGGAGTATTCCTTCCACAGGGCACTAGTTTCCCGAGCTCCTCCTGAGCCTATGCAGTAAGTAGTCTCTCAAAGAGCACCCTGGATTCTAGAGCAAACAATACATGTTCTGTTTGACATAGTGTTGTATGAAGCACCATCTAGTTGGCCCAATGCTTTGCAAAATCACTTGGGATATTTGCACTGTCCATTGCAGCCAGAAGTGTTGGGCAAAACCAGATCCTTCTGAGGTATGTCTGGCCTTCAAGCCAAGGTCCTCCCTTATCAGGGAGGCCCCTCTTTAGTTTCACTGGCATAGGGGAATGGCTTTATGGATGATGGTTAATGAATCAAGTAAATTACACACACAAGAGCATGCTATCATAAAAGATGCAAATGAAACTGCAAAGCCTAACTCTACACACACTGTGAATAATCACTACTGCAGTTTCCAGGACTTCCTAACAGTATATGTGCACTGGAATATTTACCAAAGTATATTTGCCCAGTGGCAAATATGTCACTAAGGAAATTCCTACAGGTTTTTGTTTTCCTATGGGGATATTCTCCATGAACTGAGGTTATAGAGTGAGAAGTTCAGAGAAAAGTTCTGTTTCTAACACCTAATATCATCTTACTAGTGTATTCTGGGCTGGAAGACATATTCTATAAATTTATGATACAATTCTGGAAAATTCCATGCTATTTGGAAAAATGCATCAAACATCTGACTTATTAATGAAGAAACACAAACGTTTAATTACAAGCACTCAAAAGTCAAGTGCAAAAGTGGTGATCCAACCACTGTGAGAATACATCCTGTCAGATTTAAACTGTTTCATATAAGGATATTTACTTTCTTAGGTTTATTGTTCTCTTCTACATGAACAAATATCTCCAAATCAAATGGAATCATGCATTCACAAAATACACACTATTTCTTACAATTAAACGTGTAAACATGCTTCTAGGATTGTTTTCTTTGAGAAAAATAGATGCTTGAGCAAGGCTGTGTTAGAGTCTAGTTGAGGTTTTCTTTTTCAACTCAGCATATTCCAGTTTCACAGAGTATTTGGGAAACAGTAACCACCAGTGAAGAGGCTGCTAATACCCACAGACTGATTGCAGCAAGCTTCATAATCCTGGGCCCCAGCAGTCACCAGGAACGAGGGACTTGCAACACTGACAAGTAGTCTGGGAGAGTGAGGCCAGAACCTGTAGGCATGAAGCAGGTGAATATGAGAGCAGGATCATGTAGAGCAGATAACATCTACTCTGAGTAAGGAGGGTACCTGACCCCTGACCTTGGGGCCACTAGGGTAAAATTCACACACCTTGAGCTCCCATTGTTTTCTGCAGTGTTCTGCCTCATAGTACTGAGAGGAGTAATGGGGTTTGGAATCCCTGTCAGTTTGTTCTTACCAATTTTGTATTTGTGTTAGAAAACTCTTAGTGGAAATGTTTGTAGGATTTCAGGGTCAAAGTACATGCCATGCAAAGGATTCTTATTTACATTGATAATATAGAGATGATTTATATTTCCTGCCATTTTTATTTATTTTTTGGCCTTCAAGCCAAGACTTGATTCTCTTTTAGTTGAGTATTCTTCTAGGGAGTTTCATCCCTCTACTGGTTCTGATTCTTTATTTTGCATGAAATATTTCATTGAGTAAATCTCATAGTGCAGGCTTTTGGTTATTTGAATTCTTTTACATTTAGTATAGAAGTTTTTTATTTCCTTTTCAATTCTGAAGGACAAATTTTGCTGGATATGTTAATCTTGGTTGGTTTATATGATTCCAAGCCCTCCCTGCTTTTAGGGTTTGAACGGTGAATGCATTTGAAATTCTAACTGGTTTTCCTCAAAATGTGACATCCTCCTTCATCCTGAACCTTTTAAAATTCTAACCTTAATCTGTATATTAGGCATTTTATTATACTGTGTTTTGGAGAAGATCTTTATTGATCCTTCCTATTTTGGGTTCTAAGAGGCTCTATATTTGGATTTCCATCCCATTTTAAATGTTTTGCAAATTTTTGGTATATTGAAGTTTGTGCATTCATATATTTTGTATTTTGGTGCCTTCATATATGCCAATGATTCTTTGTTATCTAAGAATATTCAGGTCATGGCCTCTTAACTTCTTTACTGTTGACTTTATTTTTTAAATTACACACTTTGACTTCAAGGTCTGAGAATCCATCTTCAAAGTGGTCTAATTTATTAGTGATGTTTTCCACTTAATTTTTAATTTGGTTTACTGAATCTTTTCAGGATTTCTCTTTGAGTCCTTTTCAGAATCTCTTTTTTGAAATCATCTTTTACTTCCTGTATTTTTAAACTCCTTACATCTTTTTAGTTCACTGAATATTTGAACTATGAACTTTCTTAATTCTCCACATTTTATTCACTGTGGTGTCAATGAGATCAGTCGAAGTGTTGTGGGTTATTTAGGGTGGTAGGTTCACTTGTTTTTTATATTTGTGTGTACTCATCTTCTGAGATGATTATTACCTCTAATATTGTTTTTTTGTACCAAGGATAGAACCCAGGAGCTTAACCAGTGAACCTCACCTCCAGTCCATTTATTTTTTATTTTGAGACAGTCTTCCTCAGTTGCCTAGTGCCTCATTATGTTGCTCAGGCTGGCCTTGAACTTGTGATCTTCCTGCAAAAACATCCTGAGCTCCTGGGATTACAGGCATGAGGCTCCACGCCTAGTTATTATTTCTACTTTTAAACAAGAGACAATTGAGTGAGCTTCTTTGTGTAAGTGCCCTGGGCTGGGTGAATATCCAGGTATTGATACTCCCATTCAGCATGTATCATCTGCTGTTCCCAATCTCAGCATCACTGAAGCAGCCCTACACCGAAACCCCCAAACCTGAAATCCAGAACCTCTGAGCACTGACATGACACTCCAAGTGGAAAATCCCACACCAGACCTCATGAGACGGGTGCAGTGAGAACACAGGCACAAGCTGCACGTGGCACACACCCATGATCCCAGCCACTGCGAGGCAGAAGCAGACAACAAACCCTAGACAGCACTTCTTCCTCCAAGTCTTCACAGTGAGGGTGCCCACAGGGTGGCCATCTTACCTTTTCAATTAAGTATAAAGCCCAGTGCCAATAATTACGACAAGCAAGCATATCCGAGTCCTGTGGAAAGAAGAAGAGAATCAAAGAAGCAGCTGGCAGCCCCAAGAGAAACCAGTACCATCCTGTGCTGCACAGAACCAGTCACCTCCGAGGGCAGCCCAGCAGCTCTGCCGGGCACTGGCTCCCAGGCTTCCCTGAGCTGGGCATCTGTACACTACCTTATCGTCTTCAGGGCTGAGGGGCAGCGACCATCACTCCTGCTTTTACAGAGGGTAAGCTGGGGCTGGGGAAGGTGGACGCATTGTCAGCCCCCAGCTAAGAGCAGCAGTCCTCGTCCAGGCCACCAAATGCCGCAGTCTGGCTGGGCACAATTCACAAGCCACTTAACAAGCAGGAATAAACTTTATTTTTAGAATGCACGCGTGCACCACGGGACCTCTTCAGGAATTCCATCAGAGCCCAACTGCCACTACCGGCTTCCAGGGAGCCTCTCAACCCTGTCCCTTCCCACTCTTGAGGCTGATTGGCTGGGTTGCATGGGCAAAGCCAAAAGTGTACCCCAATGAGCAGCTCTGTGGTCTGAAAGGGTGGGGAAACAGCGCAATGAGCGTAACCGAAGAGGAGCCAATCAGCTGGAAGTTTGCTGGGGCCACTAAAAAGCATTTTTCACTTTTTTTTTTTTTTTGGTACCAGGCCGGGGATTGAACTCAAGGGTACTTGACCACTGAGCCACATCCCCAGCCCTATTTTGTATTTTATTGAGAGACTGGGTCTTACTGAGTTGCTTAGCACCTCACTATTGATGAGGCTGGCTTTGAACTCACCAACCTCCTACCTCAGTCTCCTGAGCCACTGGGATTATAGGTGTGCACCACCTTGCCAGGCCATCTTTCACTCTTGATAAGTGGGAGTCATGTGGATTGTGGGTAGCTTTTGACCAGTATACTTAGTATCTTCAGAGCAAACTTCACACTAATAAACCTTAGGTCAAGTGGAACTTGATGAAAAAATTCTCTACTGTTCTCATATTCTGGGTATAAAATTGTAGTAACTTTCTGGAATAGGTTCATATTCTGGGTATAAAATTATAACATTCTGGAATAGGTTGGGAAATGACTTATTAAAGATAGTAAAGTTACTGTTACATTATGTAGGAGATGAAAAGAAGAGATTAAATGGACAGAAATAATGAAAGAAAAAATAAAAATAAAAACCAAGTTAAAAAGAAAGATGGATGGAGTAATTTGTGTTAGTGGCAGATAATGTAAGAGGGGAAAGTGGGACTAAGAGGAGCAACTCTGACCTAGGAAAACAAAAATAGAATTGTTTCCAATCTTTAAAACATTACAAGAATACAATCAAATATTGATGAAGGTGTAATATTGATAAAAGATAACATTTATAGATTCAAAAAGATCAAAACTGATATTAGTGCTCTATGTAATATCCAAGCCAAAGTGGAAAAATTTCTTATTGAGTCTTGCTTTTTTGGATTTCACCAGAATTTGGGACCTTTAGAAGATGCCCACCAATCTTCAGCTTTAAGTCTATGTTTCTCTGGGTGTGGCAATAGTGTGCACACCAGCTCTAAAACAATTCTAGGAGGCTCCCTCCATCTTGGGTATATTTGGGTCCCTTTTAGCTTCCTGTTGGTTCAGAGGAGAGGGCACCTGATTTTCTGTGAGTAAGCAGTCTGATTATACCATGTTAGGAGTATAGTCTTGTGTGCTCTGCTGAAGAAAAACTCCATGTATCCAGGGCTGTCAAATCCAGGGTGTGGTACCAGTGTATATTTTGGAGGGTGTAAGGTGTGGCAGTGTAAGTTAGAGGTATTTTAACTTGTTTGATATGATACTGGGTGGCCCATGGGGAAGAATGGTACATGACTACACCCCTCTCTAGAGTGCACAAGTCAGTATACTTGAACCTGGGCACACTGGGAGGTAGATGGTGTTTGTGGGATGTAGTGTCCAGTATGCATGTGGTTTTCTGCTGGCCACTGATGCTTGACAACCACTGTTGGGGCACAAGAAGAGTTCTTGCCCCCAAAGGCCTCCCAGTCCACAGAGTGGGACAACAGAATCCGCCTTAATAGAGACCCTTCCAGATTTTGACAGGTTAATGGGGGGGGGGAAATAACTTACTTATTCCTGGAACAGGCCTTTGACGTGCATCTCTTTCATTGGCTGGTACCCATCCCTAATCAGTAGGCTATGGGTAATTCTCTATCTTATGATTCTCAAGGACGTCATCAGGCTGAGCTTTCTCTCCTACTTCCCAAGACTGGACATACCATACATAATGCTGATCTTACTGCCTTGCTGACAGAGATAAGCTCTTGCTATCCTTTTTTCCCCAGAAAGTGGGACACTAAATTTGAAAGACTGGGGAAAAAAATAGGTGAAACACTTCATGAGAAGCCACAAACTTCTATACCAGTCCTTCAAATTTGGTTTCTTTATAGAGATGCAATTGACAAAACCTCTCTTTTTCAACCTACCTGCTCTTCTCTTTCTGTGCCTAACTATGCAGCCCCTTGAATCTCCTGCTGCTCCTCCTGCAGCTGCACAACAGCCCTGGCAACAACATTCTGGCTGGAGTTGTCCTGGAGCCTCTCCATGCATATATATGACTCTTCTGACAAATTCACTGCCATTGCCTCTGTGGCTTGCTGAGGCAGACGCCCAGCCCCAGCTAGTTCCCAGTTAATTTAGTGTTTCGGACAAGCTGTGGAAGAGGGGAAATCTCATAGCTTACCTGTCTGTCCTATTAAGATAAACTCTGCTAACCAGCCAAAATATGAACAGTTACTTTTTGCTATATTGAAAGAGTTACAACCTTTAAATGAAAGGGGAAGTACAAGATTTGACTCTAATGTCATTGAAATTGTTTATCAGTTACTATAAGTAGACCTGAATTAACTATTTAAATGAGCAGTCAATTACAGGGTTATCAGACATAAATACTAATGTCATGGTAATACTTTTATGGTATGGCTTTATGCATGAGCTCAAGAGGCCACCCTGGTCTAGGGCAAAGGAAATAAAAATAAAAAATATCCAAAGGCTCCCTGGGGCTACCAGGCTCTATCCTTTCTAATCCACAACAAATCATCACTTATATTCAACTGTATATGGAAAGTGTTACTAGATTTGCAAGATTTAAAACAAAAAAGAAAGAACTCTCCACAAAGTATATAAATTGCAACACCATGCTTTAAGAGAATTATAAAAGAAAAAAAAATGGTTACAACAGTTTTACTTACCTTTCAACTTCTGCTGGATCTCTAACTTTCCTAGCCTTATATTTAAAATGTAAATTACAGGACCTACAAGATTTACTAGACTTATAAAAAACTAGTTAAGCCAAAAGGAGAAAAGTGTCTCTCTTAAATCCAAACTACTTGGCTAGCTGTCTATGTTCAGCTGGCTTTCTTGACTAATTCCTCCCTAATGTTACAGCACAGAAAGACAAAAGGAAAAACATTCTAAATATACAAGCTTTCTTTTTGAGAAAAAGTTTTTTCTTAAAAATTTCACAGGCTTCCAACTGACTCTTATCTAAACTACAAGTACACTCTGACCTGATAAAGTCAGTATTACGGCAATATAGGTTTTTAAGTATTCTATTTAAGCTGATGTATTTTTCTGATCAGTCTTATTTCATCTAACTATATAGGTTTTTACATTCTGTCTTTATCCAAAGGCCAATTTCTCCAGAGTTAATTCTCACATACATTTGAAATTTTCTTTTAATAAATCCTTAGGAAGATATGGACTTGATGATGTTGGGCATGTTTCTGATAAGCATCGCACACAAATAGCTACCTATCTGAAACCATTGACTTCAGTATCCATCATAGCTGTTAGGTATTAAACCTAGCATTTCCAATTACACAGGCCTATCCTGTGTCTATATATTATGTACTTGATATCAAAGTTGACATTTAGACAAAGGAGCATTCATGAAAAAAATTAAAATTAAAAAATGAATCCAAATAACTTAATTCAAATCAAGTCATCAAATAAAAATATACATGTCTTTAAGGTTCTAACTTATGGGTTTTTCTAGTGACCAAAAAATAAAATTTTAATTTCTAAAAAAATGTCTATGATATAATGTCCATTACTCCTAAAATTTTTCTTCAAGAAAACAGGGATGATTAATACTTTTCAACATGTTTTTCCTATGTTTTCATGTTACATTTAAAATAGTAAGTTAAGTTTAACATAAAAGGGATTAATCATCAAGAGTTTAGTTTCTTCAATATGTAAATTAAAAATTACAGCTAATGCCAAACTGATCTCTCAGTTTTTCCAGTTGTTAAAGGAACAGAATGCTACCTCCTTTTTTTAATTTAACTCCTTTTTTTAAATAGGCTTTACAGAAAATTAAGAAGGATTATAAAAAATAATGATGGGTCAACTTTCAATATCTAATGTGCCATTGTCATTGCTTTTACAACAGTAGTTACTATTATAACCAAAATATTTATATATATACACTATCTATATACAAATACTATGAAATTCAGGGTCACAAGTGAGACTTTGCAACATAAATAAATATATATATAATTATATAATCCTCACTTTTCAGGCTATGATATTTTGCCTTTTACTGACATGTATACTCAATTATTTACTAATGATTATACTGAAATTTTATCCTTAACAGGCATAGACATTTATGTTTTATACCTTACTTATAAAAAATTTCATATCTCTACCATCAAGTTATATTAACAGATATTTTAACACCAATTAATTCTTATATGCCTCACTTAAACACATACTTTTTCTTCCTTGATTTATACTGTTCCTCTTGTAGATGAAATAACAATATATACGGGTGGAGATAAACAAAAAATAATAATATTGGTTCTTATTAATGAGAAATAGACTATTATACCCTACCTCAAATCTCTCCACAACAAGCTAAGTTAACTACCATTATCCTGGCATTAAGACTATTTTTTAATACTTTAAACATTATTACAGATTGGCTGTCTCTTGTCCATCAAGGAGGTCCACGGAACAGGGTAGAGGTTGTGGCTGCAGAGTCGCTAATCAGAAAGCAGGTCTCATTTTATTGTGCAATTTCTATATATATATATATATATTCAGGCAGTAGCTAAGCAGAATTCAGGCAGCCACCAATGCAATTTCTTCTAACTGTCCTTCCAGTGACCAATTCAGGAGTAGGCCATGGAGCAAGTGCAGAAACTGCAACACATGACCTCATGCCCAGGGCTGTGCCTACAGGGTAAGCGGCCTGCCACTCATGCACCTAGCATGAGCAGAGCAGCCTGCCACTCAGACGCCATTAACCTATGCCATGTATGCAGTAGTCCATGCAATTGTTCCCATAGATATCTAAACTTGTTCCTCTTATTTTTATAGCTGTGTTATGTCCTCATTTTGATTCCAACTTACTATCTCTTTTTTTAACCCTTTATCTCCCTCTCATATAAAAAA